ACATGGTTTGTCCCACAAGTTACGGCCGTAACGAACAGGTAAACCCTGGACACGCGGTACGTAATTGGGTAACTGTGGCGTTCAACTGTATATCGATCACTGTTAAGTGCACATATCTGTAATGAATTACTATTTAGTTTGTTAAAAAACCTGTAGATTGCAAATCGACTGATCCCTCTTATATTATTCATGCTATTTGGCCAGATTATGTCCAGTCGGTACAATATAACACGAGAGATCAAAAAATAACCAAAGATGTATTGGTAATTGTTAACAAATAACTAAGTAGCGAATTGGTTATCAATGAAAAATAGCTGATTGAAAGTGTTCTAAGTCAACTATAATTATGCTCTGTATAGCGTTGATCCAGGACGAAACAGCTTGAAACGTATGGATGCTGGCCATATAAGCATTAGGCTTTGTATTTGCAGGCTCTATTACTAACTGAATATATCCCGTGATGATCTTTTGGATCAAATCGGAAAATCGCACTCGTTATGGTTGGGATATGCAGGCAATTTCGGCAATATTAGGTATCCAACTAGTCCCTATCATGCGAATTGGTTGGCTTTGTTGAATTTTTTTAAATACACTCAGTTCTGAAATGTCGGGACAGTGACATTCAGGGTACGGGACGTCTTGCTTGAAGCAAAGCTTATGAGGACCTTTGTACTGGCAAAAAGCGATCCATCAACAGTCGTTGCCATTATGGCACAACCCTTGGGCAACTGTAACCGTCTAATGTAATCACGCAACCATGGCATGCGTCCAAGCTAGCTTCCTCTTTTCTCAGTTTCGATCAGTCACTTGTACGATAGAAGATGGAAGCAAAAAGCTTATCGACAACGCTGAAAATTTTATTGCTTTTATTTATGGAAATTTATTTGCTGGTCCATGTTTATTTGACATCCACTTACACCCAGTTTCTCAATGTCTGCTTTAGCCTCAACACGAACAAAGCATAAGGCATGATTGTCCAAGGCATCACGGCATTTCTGAGATACCGCGCCTGAAGAACGACCAACCATCTCCTAATTTTCCGAATACCGCAATTCTGGCTGAATCGCTAGTTCTAGAGCGGAAGTTCATCATCAGCAAATTACGTAGTAGACACTATTTCGCTAAGGGCGTTCTACATATGCCCTTCCATTATAATGCAACGCTATACGGAGCTGCGATTCCTCCATAGCACATCACCGCAAACAGCCAAAAATGCTAATTTTAGTGCGTTTGAACCAGTTCTATAACTTTAACTGCACGGCAACGTGCTTGAGAACAGGAAAACCGCAGGCACTTTTACCTGCAGTTTTTCCTGTTCAAGAAATCGCTGCCAGCCGCGACGAGACCTACAAGAATGCTGATGGAACTTCCCATGCCCCGACCAAAAGACTAACAGATTATGCGAGAGGACTGGAAAATGTAAAAAAATACTTTTTACGAGCCTGGAATCATGACGCAAATATCAGCGATATGTTATTTTCTATATTTAAGTGATCGAATTGTGCAAATCAAGACAAACAATAGAATAAAGACTACATCGGGCGTCTTTGACGAAAACATCGGCCTCATATCGTGCTTTAGTTAATTTACTGGCTATTTGTGTAGTTTCAGATCACAGTAGGTAACTGTCCTTATTTTTTCCTTGTAGTTCCCAATGCGTCGATCGGCAAAAAACGTGGCGATCTTCCTTTATATTGCATGTTGGCCGTTTCTAAATATTTGCTTTGATTGCGGTTGAATGTTTGTTGGTTGTGGGTTTTGTTTATATATTCAGTTGCTTTTTCCTTTAAATACAAACAACTTGAAAGTATGCACCACCTTCTCGAAACTTGACGAAAACTTGGAAAACTTGCAACGCGTACGAAACCAATCGATGTGCTGTTCATGACTACTACGACCTCTGTCACGCTACGAGGCAATAACCTTACAAATAAACAACGGTTCTATTGTTTCAGAACTAATGTTAGCTGGTATTAAATTAGTACGTTTTGTGGGATAACAGGACCTAAAGCCGTCAGACAACAAATTTTCCACTTAACGAAAAGCCGGTATGAGAAGCGCGAACTTATTTTGGCCTTTGTTTATAACACTGCCAGAAGAAGCAGTCTCTTTTATTCCTAATAAACATGAAACGTTCGCGTCGTTCATAAGGCTTTCTGTATCTGTCTTATTTGGTAGAAGATTGTCAAGCTCAGGCGATTTCAAAGTTTCAATATACGAGCTGCAATAAAAATAACTTAGTTCAGCCTTCGCAATGTTTTCCTATGATTTTCTACAAATACCAATTTTCTGTCATAGACGGTAATGTTCTTTGTTCCGTTATCACGAGCGATGTTCATATACTTCTACAAGTTTTTTCCGTTTCTGTTAGTAATAGTATTTTGGGACAGGATTGTATTCCGTAAGCGAGAACATTAAAATACGATTTTTGAGAACTATTTCTTACGTTTGTCCAGCCACTGAGCGTACATTCTCGACGAGCCATGCGTCCCCGATGTTTTATCTAAGCCAATTGATTATAATTCAGTCGTTTTAACTCTCTGATAAGTAAGAAAAAGTACATACATCTGACGCACGAAAAGATTTAATACACTGCGATGAGTTACTGCTCATCTGAATGTAAAGAACCACATTCTGCTAGTCGGGTCACTGCCTCTTTGCGGTCTGCGCTGCACTGCATTTCTGGGTGGTCGATACGCCTTATGGGTGGTGTTGGGACATGAATGACCATAAACCCGTTGCAATAGCCCAAATTGAGACAACGGCACTTTCGGCGCACTTTAAAAATATCCAATTTTGCGCTTTTAATTAGTACTCGACTAGGTCGTTTTTCAGTTCAAATCGATACTGTTTAATTAAAAGACTCAGTAAGACTACCTACGACCTTGACGAGCCTAGAACCTAGAAATACATTTCAAATCTTCTAATGATTCTAATTTAATACTTACAGTATAATCATCACTCAACTGATGTGGCGAGTACCTGCTCTCTCGATTCGAGTTAGCGTTTACCTAATTCTAAAACAAAGAAACGCTTTAGGCCAACGGATATCTTGTACACTCGAATTCAAGTTACGTTTATGAACGCCGCACGAAACCAACTTCAGTGTGTAAATGAAGTAAGAAAGGCATCACGGATATTACTTTCATATTTTAACTTGTGCCTGCTTGCAATCTATATCTTTTAAGGAAGAAATACGCCAGTCTCTGAGAACAACCCCACACTTTAGGAAAGGTCAATTTTTATCTAAACACTCCAGTGGTATTCGTTTAACTCAAAAATACGTTGCTATAGTTATGCTAGGTCAAATTTTGCATCTCACAGACATCTGAAGTCGTGATAAAGATACATTTTCGACGCCCTTTTTGGACTTGTACACTTATATTCGAAGAAAAATGTGTCGATCCGTTATACTTAACGTCAGTGGAGGTTAGACGCTACCGATGTTATGTTGAATTAGAGCTACCGATACATATAGCTGTATCTAATATTTATATCAGAATGCGTCCCATTTCAATTCTGGAACGTCGAACTTACACGAGTGCTATCTCAGGGACATACAACAGCGATACAAGAGCCACTACTCGGAAAGTTACGCAATAGTTATGATAACATCATACGAGTTCAACTAGCACATGTTTGTTTAATCGTAGAAAAATTTAAATTTTATAATTTGTTTAGAGGTTAGATTTATAACTGTCTAACTATAGTTAAAGTTAAAAACGTAATGTCCTGTTCATACTCTTATTAACTAACTATATCGTTAACGTCGCCGACGACGCCGTGAGTTACTAAAGGCCGCTAAGGCATCCTAAATGAAAAAGAGCATTACTGTCCATCATAATTTGTAGGTAAAGATTCACTAGGAAGAACAACTAAATATTTTACCAACATCTCTTGTGGTCGCTTGTATTCTCACGAAGCTTTGGGTGATTTGTATCCGTAGGCCTATAATCATATCTTGTCATAATTCTTACCCGGTACGGTGTGTCATCTATCGTACTACAATCATTAAGTGGGCGCAATGGAGATTCATTGGAAGAATCTATAAACGGAAGGTTTTGGCGGACTCACTACGGAAGATTAAACCCTACAAGATAGGACTGACCGCTTCGTTATTACATCGAAAACTCTATGTTCCCTGCGTTCAGTTAACTAAAACAGTGATTTTGCTAAATTAATTCAATAGAGCCCCTCATACTGCTGCACGTAATAAACAACTGATTTCGTATAATCTTCAAAACTGATACGCTTCAAACGGGAAAGGGGTCCTCTGTGGGTTTATTTCACGTGTGGTCTAAGCCTAGGCGGGTCTCATTTAAGGTTTTGCCGACAGCATGTGTGTGTATATGAACATTTAGATCGAAATTCAAGTGTCAATTTTCGGATACATTTAGAAATAAAAACGTCTTCTATATAAAATATATTAATAGATATTTAGAAAAGCTTATTCGGAATAGCTTTTCTCTGACCTTGGAGCATGTTTGTATATTAGATATTTAGTTTACTGAAGCCATTTAGAAAATTATGTTTCTAAAATATGTTTGTTTATCAAATGTGCATAAGCTATATATATAGAAGATTCGTTTACAACCCATGACAATAATAATAACAATATATACGCACTGTGTAAAAACGAGCTTATATATAGTGACAGTAATATTAACCGTTTAGCCTGGTAAAATTCTATCCTCAAACAAACTATGTTGCTTTTTTTTGTTCAATTCCGATTGAGCCGGTTTTAAAGTACTACTCTATTTCACGCTAGCTTTGGGCCTAAACACTTTTTATTTCGCTTTGGAACTCTACTATATGAAACAATTTCTAATCGTAGTACCGGACGTCAAACTCAAAGCGTTTATTTAACTTCACGCTAATCGTTTTTTACGAGGCAGACAATTCAAAATGTCGCGCGCTGTCCACTCTACGGTGTTAGTGACACCAACGTATGTGGCTGTTTTAAATTTTCGCGCGCCTCCGTCTCTGTTGAATCGCCCATCAAATGCATTTCTGGCGCGAGTCGAAGACAAAGACGAAACCGAAACCGAGACACGGACGGGCGGCGTGCGGACCGCGCAGTTTTAGTGATTGATTTCTCTAATATTGTCCATAAATTGACATTGGATACGGACTAAAGATGAATCTTCTGCAAATTTTACAGAAGACGCTGTCTCCTGGTGAGTGTTAGGTAGTTCTATCGCCGTGCGAACACTCGGAATGTCAGGCTGTCTTCAGTCCGAGACTTTCTAATACATTAGGCTCTACTCGATCATGGCCAAGGCTAGTAACGTTCGTTTAATATAGGGTTCAACTCTGTGTCAAAGCTCTTAGATGTTGTGCTCCATTCGCCATCAAACACGCTACAAAACATCACATTGTAGGGCATCATCACCAAGTGGCAGACTTGTGTTTGTGGTGTGTATACCGATTACCGTTGCGAGCCGTTGGCAACGGTTTTTGCCAATATTTCTTTGCTTTTACTTTGGCAAACGTAATCGGCTTGCCTAGTTTGTTCCATTGCTGTCGTAAGCAGTGTTGTTTTGATAATGTTGTGCTGGTGTGTGCTCTCTCCTCGAAGTGAATTTCGCGTGACATGACAAATTACGTCTAGCCAGCACTGAACACTGAGGTATCCAAATTTCGATTGCGATTTGAAGAAAGTTGTGAAGGAACTGAAAATTGGTAGCAATTTGTATTCCCATGCGCCGTTTGCTGTATAACTAGAGTTTGCGTTTGCTCATTATTGATTATTGATTGTGCTTTCCTGTCAATTGCAGACAAAACCGAGCTCGAATGTGCTTTACGGTTTCTCGAGGAGGCAGCAAAACAGAATCCGGTAAGTGGCCGTAACAAAGCGCGTTCAATGGGTTGGTATCCGGCAGTGTCCATGTGTGTCACTCGGTTCAAATGACGACACCAATACCTCGTCAAAGTTTATCTTGATTTTCGTTATGCTCGAAACTTTGCGTGTGTGCGGCGATGCCGGCTTCTTGAAACTTAACAAATAATGAGATTGGCGCTTACCTCATTTAATTGGCATGGGTAATTCTAGTATTGCAATGAGTAAAATGTGGAAAACGGCACCAGTGCTCAAGATCGATCCGACAAGTTCGATGGTCATTTATGGTGTCAGTTTGTCACCTTAGCTAACCTAATAACTAGGAAAATCCATCCGAAAACGGTTATCATTGTGCCAGTTACGGACTGACCGAAAGAACGAGAGGAAATCCTGGACCCCAATGATCACTCACCTAGATTGTATTGCTGTATTGTTGTTGTTGTTAGGGTTGTAAGTGTGCGGATCATCCATGACATGGGACGGCGGAAATATCATTTCCAAATATATGCAAAGTGAGCAAATATGTCCTGGCAGTTTGGTTACTGAGTATCGTGCATTACTTGATCATAACGAACGTATTCTTCAAGGGTCTGGTGTGGCTAGTAACGCATTGATGTTACAATAGTACCGCTCTATAATGGGGACACAAGAATTGCCTAGGTCATAATATACCTCGATCAGAGTAGTAGATCTCTGCGTATTTGAAAACGAAGTATGTTAAGGCGTGTCATCGGCATACCCGAAGGCAATCAAGGGTGCTTCCTTTTCGGATTTCACGCGACTTTTCTCCAGCTGTCACACCCGAGCATAGGGCAGTAATAGGCCATTGTCGAGGTTGATTGGTGAGTCATTGCTTGCGTTATATATAGACATACAATCAAAAGTAATTAATATTTTTTTTGTGATAAGAATAGCAGGATATACAAAGACAGTTGGATGGTCAATTTGAATTTGGGGGGTCTATAAATGAATCGAGATGTCTAGATCACAAGTGATATAATATATCAGGTGAAATTTTTTTCGTATGTTGTTATGGAGAGATGTATACACGTGTCTTGACAAAATTAGTAATTAAAATATTGAAACAACAGCAAAACGCTGATACTGCTTGAACGTATTCACTTTCGCGTTAACATTTCGTATACCATATTAATTGCAGTTAACGCCAAGTTCTGTAAACACGTTTTCAAATCGTTTTGCTTACCGATATAGAGTTTATAGAAATAAAGCTGGGATTCTTCTGGTTATCCTTTCGGATGCATCGCCAACGACGAAAAGCACATCTATATATATATATAAAGGCTTTGGTAATGTATTTACAGTGTTTGACGATAAACTGAAATTAAGATGGTATACAAAATGTTAGCCAAACTTTGCAGTTTCGATCGAATGCGTTCAAGAGCAGTATCGTGTTTCGCCGTTGATACAATGTGTTAACTTGTAATTTATGCTTATTTCAATCTGTGTGACGCAATCTTCGTAGCGAACATGGTAGTATGTTATAATTGATTGTACTGTTACAAAGATCGGCGAAAGCAATTGGATTTTCTAAACTTTTTAGAGGTGTGCGAATAAGACGTGCGATCGCACTGTTCATCTACTTCCTATTGGTGGTTAACGTAAATGCATAAATATGTAAAGTGTGCAATGATCCGATAGAATTCCGAAATTCCAATATAGGAAAATATCAGTGTTTGCCAGAGGTTAATTGGAATTGGGCTGAGAGAAACTCGATATAGACATATTTAGTTTATAAAACGACAGAGAAAACCACTTACAGTATATTCGAGACGGCCCTATCTGAATTCCGCATACTAGTTTGTTCCATCTTTAGATCGTCGTTAGAGATTTACTACCGTCCTTAACTGGAAGGTGTAATATGTCGATAATATTGCTAATATAAGCCTATGAATGTATGATAGCGCAGTGGGCAACATGTTTGTGTACTAAGCTTAAGGACACGTGGTGGTCTAAATGGTCCGAAGTCGGGCGTAAACACGCGGTTCGTTTCATGCTGAAAGGAACATTGTGCTCATTTAATTTTACGTAGTTCTACTATCAATGGGTCTCAGTAGTTGATCTTAACAGATGTTAACACAACTACATTAGTGCACAACGTCTCTTCGACGATGCGCACATCGTTGTTGTTATTATTTAGTAACCTTCGTCACTATTAATCTTCACGCATTCTCTCTTACGATGCTATCCTAATACTAATAAACTCTTCTAAACTCTGGAAGCAGGTGTGTTGAAAAACGAATCAACCACTTCAAGCCGTTTGTGCTTGTTGCCTGATGGCCCTTTTACTTTATCATTACAATCCTTAATGTGCAAAGGAATACAGTCGTTGCAATAAAGTGTGCAAACAGAACGCTTCTGTTTCGCTTGTATAGTACAAGTCATAACGACTGTTATGAATTTAACCTAAGGGAACACAAAGCGAATAATTGGATTTTCTGTAAGTTTTTACCGCAAGGCAGCCTGATTTCTATTTTCCAGTTTCATTGAGTGTTTGGCGTATCCATGCGCTAATTTTCTCTACTTTATAGTAACCCAGTGTCCAGTCCTTTCCGATAAATTTGTAGTGTTTGTAAAATCTGAATTGTATAATAATAAAAGGAATCATACAATTTCTCAATGTATGCGTCTGTTGCCTTCTTTTTGCAGTTGAGATTTATTCAAGAGCTAACAGAGGTGCTAGCCAATCCCACAAATCCAGGACCCTGTCGAGTGGCTGCTGGTCTTCAAATCAAGAACCAGCTGACCTCGAAAGATGTTGAAACAAAGCGCATGTACCAGCAGCGGTGGCTGTCGTTCCCTCCGGACCAACGGCAAATTGTTAAAAACCACTGCCTCGGATGCTTTGGCACAGAGACAGAGCGGCCATCAGCGGCTGCGCAAGTAGTCGCGTACATCGCCATTGCGGAACTGCCCACGGAACAGTGGCCGGAGCTGATGCAGATCCTAGTTTCTAATGTTGCAAACGCGAACTCAACGGAAATGCTAAAGGTAATTGGTTCAGCTAAATTACATGACTAGATATACGAGCGCCTTATAGCGTTGATCGGTAGCGGCAGGATGGACATTGGAGGAAAGTCAAGTCAGTGTTACTTCCACGTTAGTTGCGTAATACATCTGTGAAAATCATACAGTGAAACGTGAGATTTCCGAAAAAATTGTTTTATTGATTTACCCTTTCTTTCCAGGTTGTCACATTGGAGGCCATTGGTTATATTTGTCTAGAAATTGAGCCCATCGAAGTACTCGCTGCCCGGTCCAACGAGATCCTGACCGTTATAGTGCACTGTATGCGTAAGGAAGAGACGTCCGATCGCGTGCGACTAGCCGCAACAAACGCCCTTCAGAATTCACTCGAATTTAGCAAGGCTAACTTCAGTAATGACAATGAGCGGCACTATATTATGCAGGTAAGAAAAGATGGCTCTTAAACGGGCTGAAATGTCGGGGCCGACCCTGTCTTATTGCTTCTTGAAAGCACGTTTTCCCGAAGAATCGGTTTCTTGATGTATTTAGGTACTCTGTATGAACTATTATGAACGTTCTAACATTACTGTCCGAAAAACGATCAATGACTACGTACTTCATAGTATACCGCACGCGATTCTATTAGTTTGGTTGCAGGAAAACGTTATAATAAGGTATGAAAAATACTAATAAATAAATTAACTGTTGTATTCAGTGGGTAAATGTCGATGTCGTAGAATTTAATAGGTGATAGCAGGAATTAGGAATAGCTGGCGGCAGTATGTATATCATACTTAAAACTCACATATAAAACTCGAATTTTCTGAAATCTACATCTTAACTGCTGTTCGTGCTGGTACTTTATCATATAGGTTATCTGTGAGACAACACAATCGTCGAATCTCCTCGTGCGTGTAGCAGCCCTACAATGCCTCGTTAAAATCATGTCTCTCTATTACCAATACATGGAGCACTACATGGGTCCAGCACTTTTTGCTATCTCGACGGAGGCGATAAAATCTGAGCTTGACGACGTAGCACTGCAGGGTATTGAGTTCTGGTCAAATGTCTGTGAAGAAGAGATTGACCTGGCGATTGAGGCTTCTGAAGCGGCGGACGAGGGGCGACCGCCTCAACGCACTTCGATGCATTATGCCAAGGGCGCCATTCAGTATCTGATGCCACTGTTAACACACTGTCTTATGAAACAAGACGAAGCTGATGACGAAGATGAATGGAACGTCTGCAAGGCCGCAGGTGTTTGTTTGGTTTTGCTAGCAACCTGCTGCGAGGATTCGATCATTCCGCACGCCTTGCCATTTGTTCAAGCCAATATAAAGCACACGGACTGGCGACATCGAGATGCAGCAGTCATGCTGTTCGGCAGTGTGCTCGAAGGTGCCGATTCAGCGAACACTAGGCCTCTGGCGGACACAGCTATGGGTCCGCTGATCCAGATGTTAAACGACGAATCCGTTGCGGTGCGTGATTCGACGGCGTGGACGCTTGGCCGGCTCTGTGAGAATGCGCCCGATGTCGCACTCAATCCGCAGTACCTTGAGCCCCTCCTTAGGGAGTTGATTCGAGGACTGTCGATGGAACCGCGTGTTGCTACTAACGTTTGCTGGGCACTAAACAGTCTTGCGCAAGCGGCATATACACAGGCTCAAAATGAACTAGCACTGGGACAGGAGCCAGAAACCTATTGTTTAACACGCTACTTTGAAGGCATTATCACAAAGCTTCTTGAGACGACGGAACGGGCTGATGGGAACCAATCTAATCTCAGGTGAGATAGGTTACAGAACTTCACTTGAGTCGGTTCCATAAAATTATAATCTACGAGTCGTTTCGTCACATCTTCTAGTTGGTTGGGTTATTCTTCGCTTGCGCACGTATTAAATGCCATTATAGTTATTGTTGTATCCAACCATATTACGAACATTTAGAAAGCAACTCGTATTTTCTGTGCGCGTAATAAAACATTATAGCAGGCGTCGGTTCAAGATATTTGCTCATATTAAATGCCGTGAATGAGGCATTTGGCATACATTACATTTGCATGTGTACATTATATATTGTAATAATAACGGAGCTGAAAATGTACTCGCCTCTCGAATTTACCATGTCTGTGCCTTTGATCTTTTACAGGGGAGCTGCGTACGAATCGCTGATGGAAATGATGAAGAATTCCCCGAAGGATTGTTACCAGTGGGTACAAAGTATGACGATGGTTATCCTACAGCGTATTAACCACATATTGCAGATTTCGGCTACTGCTGTGAATGCGTCGCAACAGGAGAAGAGCGCATTATACGACCTGCAGTCACTCCTGTGCGCAACGCTAACGTCTGTTTTGCGAAAGATGACGCCTGAGGATGCCCCGAAGGTCTCGGATCTAATTATGAGTGCGTTGTTAGAAATGTTTAAGACAACGAACGGTCAACAGGAAAGTGGCGTCCAAGAAGACGCGCTAATGGCGGTTAGCACACTTGTTGAGGTACTGGGTCGCGGTTTCCTAAAGTATATGGACGCATTCAAGCCCTTCCTAGTTTTGGGTCTACGAAGTCATCAAGAGCATCAGGTGTGCATGGCTGCAGCTGGGGTCTGCGCTGACATCAGCCGTTCCATCGGCTCTGAAGTGGTTCCCTATTGCGATGAGATCATGACTTTGCTATTAGAAGCATTGAATGATCCCATACTGAATCGTTGCGTAAAGCCACAGATTCTATCAACATTCGGTGATATCGCTCTGGCGATCGGCGTCGAAATTCAGAAGTACGCTGAGGTCGTTCTGAATACGTTAGCGACAGCGTCGCAAGCTCAAGTCGATCGATCCGACTTCGAGAACATTGAGTACCTGAATGAGCTGCGCAATGGATGTCTCGACGCTTACACCGGGATTCTTCAGGGACTGAAGGGTGAAAACGGCTGCTCACCAACATTACAAGTACTATTGCCGCACGTGCCATTCATCGTACAGTTCGTCATGAGCATTGCACGCGATCCGGAAAAGAACGACTCGCTGGTTGCGACATCTTCCGGTTTGATTGGCGATCTGATCACCACATTCGGCCAGCAGGTCCTTTTGTTGGTTGACAACGAAACGATTTCCGAACTACTCACGGAGGGCCGGCGTTCTCGCACACACAAAACAAAGAGCCTTTCAATGTGGGCCACGAAAGAGATACGCAAGCTTAAGACTCAGAACAACTAAACAAAATAGGCTGCATGTTATTACATACAATACAAATACGAAACTAAAGAGAGAGGGAGAGATCGCGCGCAAGCGATCATGAGAGATGACAGCAGATATCTCGTCGAAGAAACGCAGAGATCCCGCTTGTCGTATAGCTGACTGACCGCAGTACCGTTTCGGAACCTGCGCAACGGTCTGTGATATAGGCATCATCCACAGCACGACTTACTCGGCAACGATGACAACAGCAACACCAGCAACACGAACACCAACACCAATAAAGCCAACATCCACGACACACATCGACGACTCAACAACACACAACGAAACGCAAGCGGACATTAGTATTATTATTGATCGAAGCGACAAGAGTGACAAGTCCCGTTTCAAATGCGCGATTTGAAGCATAGATGATGCGCCACCCCAAGAGTCTATGGTTTTAATTGTTCCCCTGTGCTCCGCGTTTCGCATAGTGAGCACGCACGGTCTTGGGATGGCGCGTAGCATATTTTACATGAGCACCGACTGATGAAAAACAAGTTGGCATGAAAGAAATAGTTCTTTGTTTTGTACATTTTTGGAAGCTGATGACGTTGTAATTTCAAATAAAAAAGAAATATAAAGTATAGATATAGACAACCAAACAAATAACTAATAACACGATTCTCATGTGGGTTGGGCAGGGCGGGAAAGGACAAGGGTTATAGTGTGTGGGAAGATTAATCATAAGTAGTGGACGGAAGATCAGCTGGACGTTGAGATAACGTTGCGCCTCGTAGTGACCACGACCGTGAAGATGGCAGAGTCCGGTTGAGCTAGTCTCTGTAGAACTATTATTTGTCCATTCCAAGTCAACGTGTTGACGTGTTTCGAATAGCAATATGAACATAATGATAATAAAACTAAATGAACAGTCAAACAATGGCTGTATAACATTGATGAAAACAATATTTGTTATTTAAAGCAGAAACGCGTATATATGTACAACGCCTAAGCGTGTTACCATAATTATGCTCTATTGGACAGTGCGTTGCTGGGACGAAAACAAGACTAGGGGCGATACGATACATCATCCACGAGTGGGGCATTGATAATAAGAGTACGGGTTGTCTCCGTATTGCGAATATAAAAAAGCGTCACTATGTTGACTTAAGCCAATGGTACCCCAGGTTGAGTTGGCTCAACCAGACTTATTTGCTAGGAGGCATACTCGTATGTCCGCATCCAGCTGTCCAAGCGCTGCTATAAAATGTAACATACAATGTATTCACTGGAGGTACACAACATCTAGATAGGCCCGTATAAATATTATATAAGTAAATATATAACTGTTAACTAAAAAAGCAAGAAAAATTAAATCTATAGCGATAATGGTGATGATGGTAGATGAAGACGAAGAAAAAACATAACAACAGGAACAGCAACAATGACAACAGCAACACCGCCACCACCACCAACAACAACAACAACAACAAGAACAGCGACAACAAGAACAGCAACAACAAAAACAACATCAACAAAAAAAGATCTGAACGAGACACGGTCGATACACTGACACTTGACAATCTGTGTGCTATCGGGTCCGGTCATTGGCGAGATATCCAATAAATTTTTTTAATTTTACCTCATCTGTTAAGCGTGTTTTTGTTATGCGAGGGAATAATTGGGCGGGTATATCTACAGCGGAAACAGAAGTCGCTATATTTTCTGGTCGATAAGTATATTTTTTGGTAAATACGTGTTCAAGATAAGAGTGTTATGTTTGTACAGAAAATGTGGAACAAGGTTTGCCAGTGTAGTTCTTTCTTTTGATATGCTTAATATAAGTGAGGAAACAATTTTGTCATATTGAATAAAAAGAATCAAGAGTAATTGAATGAAACGACCTGAAGCCTAGTCTACTAACCGAATTTAAATCTCCTTGGCAGTACCAACTAGCTTTAAGATGTTAGATACGAAAAATGGAAACTGAAACACATTCACTGTGAATCTATTAGGGCCTTCAATAAACAACTTCTTTTAAAGAAACGACTATCAAAAAGCAAATGCCATGATTTTAACAGCTTCCATGACGAAGCGTTTCGATAGCGTCTAGTATAATCCTGTACTGCTACCTACTGCGTTTATTACCTTAGAATGCCAATACGTATACCTATACCTAAAAAGAATTGCGTCGAGCATATAGTGGCGTTCTAGGCATCGTTCATTGATCACAGCAGCATCTAACGTACGCGATATGTCGACGAATAAACAAAGTCAGTCAGATGCGATACCATGTCTGTTAGGTAGAAAGATAATACGCGGTACGGGCAGAAAACATGCATCACATATGTGATGCTTTAATGTATACCGGGCGCGAAATTCAAAATATTCATATACACTGATATTGTATTTGAAAGTGTTTTCATAATTTTCAATAACTTATATAGTCCAGTGAATCAGTTACACCACCAAGCAAAACTTGGTTAGCTGGAAAAAAAATCGTTAAAAAGAATTTGAAATATTACTAAGAAAATTACTGCACTCTGCGAAGTAGAAGTCTGCCCGTAAATGATACTGGTACAAATTTGCAATAATAATAATAATAATGACTAGAGAGAACATTTTCATTGCACATTTCCGTTTTACTTTTACACTATTGTTATATATATATATATATATAAAATTTGCAGTACCATTCAAAATCAACCTAAAACCGATTTAGAATATCGTCTGACAACCCATACAGGGGACCCCAGATTAATAATTACACTGAGTCCCGATGTTGATACCAAATATAATGAATATATGCATTCAACGATGAAAAAGAAACGATCTTGCATATTTGAGCTAAGTCAACGAATAAACGTGACGGCTTGGTTATGCTGACCATTTGCTGTGACATTCGAACCCGTATAGACTGTTCGTTCAACTCTATCGTTTTGTCTAAAAGCGAAGGCCGCCGACGTTTTGAAAAAAATTAGTTTAATTATGCATTTGGCCCTATTCCATATCATGGTAGTCAGTTTTTTTTTGTGGAAGGCAAAAGATTGTCTAAATGCTTAAATTTCTCCGATAAGCCTGTCATTATCGAACTTTATCGTAACTAAAGTATGAAACACATTCACATGCACTAGTCAGTATATTAGGAAATTGATTTGAATTTTTACATCAAATGGTAGCTTCGTCTAAAATGCCAATTAAAATCGACCTGCGTGAAGCTGATGCCGAAGATCCAGTAACATAAAAATGGTGGTAAAATGCCTGGCAGATGGAACGCCTGGTATAGTAAAAACTGATGTCGATATATGAAATAAATACGGGTTGAAACCTTGGCTTACATAAGGTGTACTATGGATAAGGAGAAAAGTCGATTATTTTTCTATACGGATCTCGCGTGACTGAAATCGATCCCCTTATCTCGGTATTTTTTTTACGAATACAAGTGGCCTAGAACTCATGTAAGAGGATAGACAAAGCAACCAGTGTTCATGCTAGATGGAAAATGGGCAATTTGCTAATACACAATGGTGTTTATTATTTACAACTGTTGGCGTCCTTTGATACTCCATTGTAGTACTGCCGAAACAGATGAGCGAGATAATGCAGTACACATACCCAAAAATGCAAAAAAAAAATCCTTAAGATCTTCAACAAAAGAACTGCGAGTGTACCTAATATGTATTATACTTTGCGTTTATATCGTTCCAAATAGCAAAACTAGCATCGTCAGCCTGATAGATGTTATGTTTAACGTGGTGTCATAATGTGAATCTGTTAAGGTAGCACGTACACCGTAATTTGTTTCTGTCCAAAATTTCTTGATGAATTCCTTAGGTTTACGTCTTTCTCTGCTGAAACGACAATATGCTATAAACTGACTGTAGCTGTTACTACTTAAAAATGATCTGTTATTAGTTGACTAACGCTCTTAAGTTAAACTTTTAGTAGTGTTCCGTCAGATTATGCGCGCGTATTAATATTACTATTCTCGTTATAAGTGCGGCCATACTATAGGAATTGCTACAAAAAAAATGCGCTACATTCTAGAGAAACCTGGGGAAAGAATTAACGATTGCCCATCATCCGCAAACGAGACTGGCTATGGCGAACATATCCTAGTCATGTGAACACGTATCAATGAATAATAGTTTAGGTAAATTCACGCTTTGGAGGTCCAATGGTTATCGTTTCTACAGTTCTTCCCCTTTCTTTTACTTTTACTGAATTCAGGAAGTGTAAAAGCTTCTTAAAAACGTTATGATCAAAAACGAGGAATAGACTTCTATTTCTCTTTTTTTTTTCCTTTTATCGTACTAAGCTCTGCGATAGCTAATTGATAAAGCAGGACATTTTTCACCTTTTTCTTTTTTATCCTTTCTGTTCAGTATAGGTCCAAACCGATTGAATTAGAAGGCGTATTTCGACTGCAAATATGAGGGGCTGATTGACACGATGTGTACTTCACATAACAATACAAATCGTTTGCGTTGGGTGCAGATATCGGCTGAACCTCAGACACTTGAACGTATCGTTTACGAGTGTACGGTTGATTTAATCAATGATAAAAAGAAAACTCGAGATATGCACAAACTCAAGTTGCGTTTTAAACTAGTTAACTTTGTTTTCCCTTTTCATTCTTATCACATTTACACAAAACCGGTGTTGAACGTAACATAATCAGACTCAAATTATTCTTAAGCGTTGAAAAAGCCAGGAGTTGCTGATTCGAGCCCTGCCAACGACATAAAACAAAGATACACATTACAGTTATTTATAATTGCAAACGTAAACCTAGATGATTATAAAAGGCTTAATAACAAATCTATAACGACGTATCAGGCATTATGGCCTGTTGAAGAGGTGTCTGCACTTGATACATTCACTCGTAAGATTATTAAAGTTAAAAACATTCTTAGCGTTACATTGATCTACTCTACCGCGATATGGTTACATTATATATAACGTATACGTAGCTTTATTTTCTTATGGGGCCTAATCATTTCTCTTTTTGCTGTTATTCTACACGTTTATTGCCGATATAAGAGTGAAAATAGTAACAAAGAAAAATTTAGTGTTTCTATCTCTTAGGAACTCTAGCTAACCGCTATGTCGATGGTTTTCATTGTAAGTTTGATTGTGCTATTAAATTAAGAACGCGCAAAACTGGCTCCTTAAAAATTAATGGCTATATTTGCGTTTTCAAATAAATCAAAAACGATATAGCATCATTCACCAAGCGAAAGCTAAGCAACGCATACATTGTGTATTTTCTCTGCAGTCGCCTGCTTATTTCAATTTGGTGTACACGTATTTGGGGATCATTTTTGCTTCTATTCTTAAATTTAGCTTGATCAATTGACTGAGCAACAAGTGGACATATTTAAGCAGCAAACATGAAAATGTTAATGTTCTTTCTGGTAGATTAACCACGACAATGTTCCTGAAAACACAGAAAATTGAACTGTATTTCTGAACAATATTCATCGTATTAGTTGCTTGAGATCTTCAGATGGATATGCTCTTATTCTTACGTGCTCGTTTCGGACATGTTTTTCAGAACAATCTAGTTTACTCAGCTACTTAATACTGCCCTAAAGTGTCTTTCGCGAAGGGCGGCAGTCTGTTTTCACAAACTGTTGGTTGTAGAAAATTGTATTCCAGCATACGGTGCCTAGAAATAAATAGTCAAACAATTTACATTTGGATTGCTAGTGCGAAGAATATCGTGCACTCATGTAAGTTGTATGCATGCATGATGCGCAAGAGGCAGGTGAATTCAAAAAGGCATTAATTTTTATAGACGCTCATTACTACCGTTATTATTTTTTGTATTACTTGCTTCTGATGGACTGACTGCTCCAGCACCGTCCATTTTAGCATAATGTTAATGGGGCATGTCTGAACATTTAATCCTGTAGCCATTTCTCTTTTCTTTATCAACTTGTTTATCTCTTCGTTCGGATATCGTCAGCTTCCATCATGTGAACAATCATGTTGTTCCCTGGTTTTTCTTTTCTGCAAGTGATCGCTGGCTTCGTCTCCATGAGAGTTTGCTGTTCCTGTCATAGCAGTATTGGCCAGCGGTAGCGTGAGGCCATGGCCGGCCCGCTCTGCAGTTTTTGCCTGTAACTATTAATGATTATTTTTATAAGGTCGTTGTCGTTATTGTTATTGCCGCTGCTGCTGCTGCTATCGATGTTGATGCTATACAAGGTGCGCAAGCACTAATGGCACTGACGAAACGGGCATCACGCAGTCAGAATACGGGCCGGCCGATTTACGCCAAGATGAAGCCATTTGAGCTTTAGGGTTTTTGGTGGTTGCTATTGTTCTAATTGTCGTTATCGCTGTCATTACTGAAGCTGACTGGTTGTCTGGCGGCTGACGCAGCGTTGATAGAGTAGTTTTTTTTTGGTTTCGTCTCTTCGTCGCTGATCGTCAGCCATTAGGACCGGGAGGCAATAGACTGGATTTGTTACCCTGCCGAATGCGATAGGCGAAAGCCGGCAGTAAGAATATGTATATGCATGCTGACGATTATATCACAAGCAATGTTGCACCGAGCGTTGGATTCGCATCGAGAGTGCATCACCACCGTTAGAAACGGCATCGTAACGCTGTGAACAACAAGCATGTAACACTTAGTTGGATCTTTTGAATCATGTATTAACACGTGGCATCTGTTGACAGCGGCAGGCCGTGATTGGTAACGAGACTCTGCAAGGAAATAAATGCACAAAAACGCGAGTCACGATGATTAAATATGGAGATTAAAAAAATCCAAGTCAGAACGAAATTGAATACCACTGAAAAAGTCACGGACGTCAAAAAGAAGTAATGAGTCACGAATGCATCCAGCGCTACGTAATTGGCGTGTTTTTTGGAACGCAACTAAGCTAAGTCAAGTGTGGTCAGCCGGCGCTTGGAGAAGCCCGAGTATCGCGTAGCAGAGGGGAAGTAAAATATATTTCAGGTATATAGGGTGCGGTCCTTAGCGCCGAACAAACGTGAACACGTCTACTGGAACTGCGTAAACGTCCTCACGTTTACATTTTACATCTACTAAAAAGGCGGACTATAAAAATTACTCTCCTGCTTTAATTTTGTAAGTTTTTGTTGTATATATTGCTAGTCCTAACCATTCAGATGCATTATGTTTAGTGTTATTTTCACACTGAAAAGTAAGCCGTTAGCTGCGAATAGATGTTTATGTTGGACCCTAAAAGCCAGTCTGAAATGGACAATATGGCGAAGCAAGTGAATAATTATTCCGTTTGTAGCGGAGACGTACCTGAGGTTTAGCCCTTTCACGGCAAAAATATAGCGTCATTCCAAACTGAAATAAATCAAGTGATACAAAAACAAATATGTAGTCAAAAGCACGCATCAGAAACCAAAGGATAATGGTATCAAATAGGGAATGAAGAGAAATAACACAGCATATAGGACCACAATAAACTCCAATAAATCGCCAAGTATGCATGGTTCGTATTATGCGAACACTTAAAGATAATAACTTGCTTACTTCATAATTAATTAACTTGTAAATTATTTTGAGATAATGATATAAGCCTGAATTAATTAGCGTTGACCTAATAGAAAACGGCGCAGGCCCGTCGTTGACGACGGGCAGCGCATATATCAAAGTGATGCAGCGCTTAATGGCGTTTGTCTGTTAAGGATACGACAAACTTTCCGGCCTCATGCACACAAGATAATTCTGTAAACAAGAAAGATGATCGTTTTCTACTTTTGAGAAAATGACGAATAAAGCGACTAATTAGTCGCTGAAATTATCAAGTTTATTAGTAAATATACTTGCGTGTAGCAGAACGATCTCGGCTGGACTCGATAAGTTTGTGGGTATTCGAAATCTAGCTTCGTGTTGATATGCAGCGGGATGTTTCGTAAGCAATTCCATGCCTTACTTAGAGTGAGCATAGCATCGTCGTGAACGAGATGGTTCAGTGTTTGTTCCTGTTCAAGCGGGACAAGCTTGTTGACACATGCAGTATATTATATACAGACACCAGTTGGAATAGTCGATATTTTGGTACGACTATGAGGGTGCCATACGGAACCGATTCTATTCAATCACAAATCTGAAATTCGTCACTGTCTCAAACCTGTAATTAATCAACGTGCGCTCAGTTGTGCCGCACGAAACGGCGCAGTTAAATTCAGTCCGCTCGTACGCTTCACCAGTACGAAAAAGATGCGTTTCTATGTCTCTCTTCGATATTTATTTAAACATTTAGAAACACAGTATCGGCAAGTAATCTAAATTGGTTGTGATATTATTAAATTATCTCTATCTGCTGTACGCGACTCGCAACAGCATGTCTCAGTGCAACCTGGTGACGCAAACTGACGAAACGGAAAACGCTCACCTAACGTGCTATTGACAGGGTGTGTTTAATTTTTTTTTTTAAGATTCTAGTACACGCTCTTAACTACTTAAAACACTGGCAGGAGTTGGTTAGCGTGCGAAAAGTCTTCCCCTTCATTTTGCGCAAGTCTCAACTCGGATCCAATGGAAGAGTAAACTGCTCGCAGCAAATATTGTTTGGGTAATAATTGGGATATAATTGTTTACCCATTGGTCGTTTCCATCGATGCATGCTACGAGGCAAAGCAATATATGTATATGTCATTGAGGCGCAACCAGACGACCGGTTTTGCGCATACACATGAACGGCTGATTTCTAGCGTGGCTTAAAGAGAGCGAATAGCTTCGTTGGCAAGCTGGATTCCAACTTCTATTTTTAGCCCAGCTTTCAACCACACTTGCCAGAAGATACGGTTGTCATCTAAGTAATGCATATAAGCATGGCTATTTTTGAGTACAGATACTAATTATCTAGGCATGTCGCCTTATAGAATTTGCATTGCCCAATCATTATATGAGGCGATCATTTGACATCGTTATTTACATAGATTGAATTTTACAAAACACTGCATTCTGTATCGTTCTTTGGTGTATTTGTCATACTTTGAGAGCGCTCGTTGACGGTGTACATCAATACGATGCTCCCAGTTTGTGTTCTACAGTTATTTTGATACCTATTTCACAACCTCAACGTATCGTACGTGCTAGTTATTCGAAAGAAAAGGTCAGTGTCATCGGTGATTTTATCCAACCTGTTCTTCTGACCGGTAGTCAAACGGTGCAATAGCATGTGATGCCCGTAGAATCATCTGGTCCCCACAAGAAAGATCTTTAGATTGACTTCTCGTCCTATGATGCACCAACCGGAGTCGGACCCAAGTTGTCATACATCGTTTTCTAAATTTGCGCAGAACCCACAGAGCACTGTGTCTTCAGGGTACTCAGAACGCTGATGCTGATTCATTTCGCTTTCTTCTAATCGCGCAGAGCAGCGATTTTTGTGTTGTTATCACACGTTTTAATTTCGATTCAGTTCAAGTTGATGAAACTTAATTTTTAATTTGAGAGCACTAGATGCCCGTAGCATACGATATAGATAAAACGTCCTGCTTTATCTGGGTCATCTAAACAATATATCTTGTGCTGCTCGTTTGTTTACTAGTCGTGTGCCGAGATTAATTTACTGGATGGCGTACGTCATAGCAAACTAGAGATATACAGGTCGTGTCAACAAATTTGCTCAAGTATCACGTCAACAAAAAAGAGTGCCGTAGATGCCTGAGTCTAAACGCGCCTAATTAATTAAGGTGAACGTTATAGCAGTCAAGCTCGAAAAAATCCGGCCGTTCAGCGTCACCCGATTCGAGCTGTCATTATGCCAATATACGAAGGCATGTCTCACGAGAAGAAGTGCGCCGTAATCAAAGTTGTTGTTCTGTTATAGAGCTCACTCACTGAACAAAATAATTTAATGACCATCGTTATTGATGCCGTCCCGAGAAACACTGAACCTCTCTAGTGCCTAATAACTATCTGTTTGTATCGCTTAAGATTCATTTCGTCTGTAAGATAGCATCTAGGTGCTCGTCTACGACCTCTGGCCGTGACCGGAGCCTCACTGCCTCTCGAGCCTATTTTCCGAGCAGTCGCTGCATAACTGAGTGAGTGGCAATGGCTTCCGGTTGCTACAGCTTACCATGAACGTACCGTATGAAGACACCAACGTGCAGACTGAACAAACCTAGCCAATCACAGATGATCGCCTGTATATATATAGCCTGCGATACATTGTACTGAGATAGTTAAAGATGTATTCTTCTTGGAAAATGATCTTACACTGAAGAGTGCGCAGATACTTAGTGATCTTTTCTGGATGGGAGATGTTGCGGCGTGTTTGTATGTTAATAAAGAGGTGGTAATCCGACTGGTCGAAGCTCTTTTAAGAGGCGTATGTTCAAAGCTGGCCGGTTTCTCGTCAAACTTATCGAGGCCTCCGAACAGTAATATGCTGGCCCTAGTGGATGGAAAGGCAGTGTTCATTGAATTGGTTCAGTCTGACGCATTGGACGAGATTTTGACTCAAAAAGCAGTTGGAAAATATCGCCAGTGGTGGATAAGTGTTCTGTACTATAATCATCAAAGCGAACATTATACCAGTTCTGAACTTCATGCATTTTGTTCGGACGTCAATTTCAGACAAAAATATCCTTCATGAAGAATATTGAAGTCGATGGCTATCTCCTTTGCTGTTCTGTCCAGTCGAAACAAAAAGGGGCACGGGCAAATAAATGAAGCAGCAGAGAAATGTATAGTAGTATGCAAACGACGGCTGGCGTGTAGATTAGACCTGCTGTTTTGTTCGCTGTGGCTCGCTGCTTGCAAAGGTCTGTAAGCAAAGAGTGCGTATCTTCAATACTTTGCCGAATCTAAATAATGTGAAAAAGTTACTGAGGTTGATGAAAACCTCGAATAATATTCACTCCCTTAGAAAAGTCCTCGAACTTAAGGGTCCGGTGTCAGTAGTGAGGTAGCATCTTCCTTTGAGCGCCTGCTAGCCGATAACAATCTCTAAAATGGGCTAAATATAGTGGGTGTAGTGCTCGGCTGTATTGGGTATAACACTCGAAATGAGATTTTGAACCCAGCGAGTCATAGACGTAGGGCCGCTACCACATTTGGTCAGGTTGCTTGCAAATACCAAAGCGAAACCCGAGAACAGAATGACTACACGAAAGTTTGCCAGCCAACTAGATAAAGATTAAATCTATTTGGTTCAGGCGTTAATCAATCAGCCGCGTATTCGGGTCCTAAAGGATCTACTGGAAATGTATTTTTACAACAACCGAGAAAATCAAACAAATTTAAGCCATGTTAGACTCTTTAAAGGTGAAAACTGGCTAATATGTCTCGTGCAGCAGCATAATACCAACATTCGAGCCACATCAGTAAAGCTTCTATGTACTGCTTGCAACGTCGATCAGAAAACAAATCGTTTTCGTTCAGTGCTGAATCGAGGGTTTTTGAACGTAGTTTAACTGCGACTAAAATTGTACGGGTAGGCAATATGACTGCGGGCAATAAGAGCTCTCGTATTTCAAACATATATCCCTATACAGATAGAAACCACTATTAATTGACAATAATCAAGAGCAGCGTTAAATGATGGCCTTAGTTGATGCCAAATCATTATGTATGGAATTTTTATACATCAACGATCAATTTTATCTTAGACTGCTTTGCACGTCTCCACGATCATTTCTATAATGAAGTTCATACTGTCATATACATTGTAAAGATACGTGCATGCAACAAATGAGCACGAAACTGTGCACGCTTTGCGGTCGGACACGTAGAGGATGAAAATGTCTACATCCATATACATTTTTTTTAATAATGCTACTTGTTCCCCGTCAAAACCCGTGAAAGGCAGGCTTAGTCCGCGGAATATCAGCCTCGATGTGATGTATTATATAATATGTTTCTTTTTATTCGCTATTATTTATCTGATCTGTAAGTTTTGCTAAACGTGTTCGAGTTTTTTTTTACGTAACAGATCTATGAAATGACATTGTAACAATGTGCTATAGTGAGTATTCTTCTACACTGAGGCTTAAACCAGCGATGACCGCCTGTCATCTTAGATCGATAGACCGAACACGTTGCATCCTTACCGGCCCCTTTCGTGGCAGATTCTTTATAGTAAATTTGCACTGAGACATTAGCTAGAGCTCCGCCTACAAACCAAGTCACTCCAAGATTTCTAAAAAGGCAAATTGTGTTGAGTTATACTAGAAATACCAGTTCGTATAATTTAATTAGAATTAATGTAATAGGGCAGGTAATCAGACTTATGAAAAATTCGAACTTGAAGTTGTGAAGCGGACGGCCATTTGAATATAATAATTGCAGACTCGTCGAACAATATTTGCCACTGTTATCAATAACAAGCGATGCTCACTTTGATTTGCTTTCAGAGGATGATACTTTCAATCGACTCATAGAAAAGCCTATTGCAGGATCAACCATATTTTTCACGTCTACATACGTATATCGTGGCTTTATTTTTGAAAAAAAAAAAAAAAAAGATATATAGTTTATAGTAGACAAAAAAAACTTCAGAAGTTTTTTTTTCACAACAGCTCTGTCAACTCGAATCTTTGACTCTCTTATTGTGTTTGTAATGGGGCGTTTTTATGCACCTGCATGGGCCTCATTATCTAATGCAAAATTCAAGCAAATCGCTGTTTATTTTTTGCCTAGTAAATCTTTTTCACTCAAAATACCGCAAAAGCTCACTTTTGTCGTGTCCAAGCATAAAGCCGTCAGAAAAAGCTGACGAGCCATGTCCATTGAATATACTGATATGCCTACTGAACCCAAATTTCGTTTTTCTTAATTAACTCACCATTGGGTTGGGTCTATAATGTCGGACGTGAGCGTGCTGGCTACCATCAAATGATTTAAGTCATTTTATAAGACATATGTAACGCAACATTGTCAAAATGTCAGCGCCTGAGGGTCGTAATTATTTAAAAGCACCCTAGTTAATGAAGAAGTGAATACAAGTGTTTAATGATGAGACACCCAAACGCTATCCTGCCTCTGAGGTGCACGTAAATTATCTTTTTAGTTTAAATATAGCCTGTTTGGTCACTAAAAATAAATTAGCTTTTTTTATGGAAGGGCAAAAGCAGGCCTACACTCGATCGAAAATATATAGGCTTCTACTTGCTTTGTTTACAAAATTAGGTGCATATGGCAATTATTTGAATGTGTTGATTACTCCGCAATGTTGGCGTGACACTATTGATCATCCGGAGTCGCATAAACAATGAAAAATTATCTGTAATTAGTCCAGAATAATTCTTCTCACTCGTCAGGCTATACTTTAACGTGTGGCGTTCTCAGTTGGGTTATGGAGCTGTTACCGCTTGTATCTGTATTCGCTAAAGTTCAACACAAAACGCGTAGTAGCTAAGGCAGAGAGCGTTGCCATTAACTATAGGGGCAACCCTATTATATCTGTGTGAGGTATTCAGATGAGTGTCGCTTGTGACGCCACGGTACAGAATAAAACAAGTATCAAATAATTGCGTTCATTATATATTGGCGAGTTATGCCAAAAAATCAAATGGTACATCGCTGCTCAGGTTTACGCGTGATTGGCCTTACTTCGCTGCCTTCAACTGTGTCCTATTCGCGAAATATTTGATTGTTTGCCTTAGGTACGGATGATTTACAAAGTTAACCCGCTGCGCAATATAATGCTGCTCTGGCCCATAAACGGGAATCATTGATGATCTTTTGTGTACACATATTCGAACCTTTGTTGTTCACTCACGCGTCCAGAAAAGTCAGCACGCTTACCTAAGGTACTTTAGAAACGTGGATAGCATAAGGCCATAAGTAAAACGTTTGTTCATGTCTATATGTTATGAGGGTTTACGACATTTGCTAAGTTCCCGCCCATGCGACATGCTCTAATTTTGCACCGTAGCGTTGTCCAGCTACTTGACCTGCGAACGTTTCCAAAACGAAAGCTTCTTTTTCTTTTGGTACTTCCTGCAATATAAGTGCTCGACCGATATCTCTCCTGAAATCTGAATCATTTCTTGCCGCTTTCATGTGACAAGACGAATTTATTACTCGTACTAATCGCACATTGCGTTCTCCATTCCACTCATGTGCACACATTCACATCTTGTCACACCCATCTTTACAATTAACTTTTTAGATGAATGGAGGTACTTACTTTTTCGTTCAACTGCTTTTTTTAATTTATGTTGTTTCCGATTCGTAGAGCCCCTCTCGCGCCCTTTCACTCCGCTCGTAGTTCGCTTCCATGCACGCGTCTTTCGGAGCACTTCAGGCTACACTTCTCTCAGCTAATAGGCCTCACTCACGAGCCGCTCTTGCCTATAAGCGCGATCGCTTGTTGAGCTCACCACGATGAAAAACTGGCAATCCAGCTTCGTTAGTCATCGCTCGTCTCCTTGGCATTTTGTGCAGCTTTTGTTGTATTTCTGCTCTCGACCGGAGACGAAAGCTTCGGGTCTCGACTGCTCCGGGGCGAGCAATCAGGTCCAGCCCGCCGCTTCTCTTCGCTTTACCAAAAAATATACTGCAACAACGACAACAGCAGCAGCAGTAATGGTAGTTGCAGCAGCGCTCCCGCTATCGTCGGCGATTATGGCGGCAATGGCGCTACTGCCGCCGCTGATGATGAAACCTGAAATAATAACGAAATAACTCTACCAATTAGATATCATGACACAAAGCGGAGGGAGTAGTCGTGTCTATGTCTCAGTGAATCGGTGTGCGTTTGTCTGGTTTTTTTTTTTTGTTTGTTTGTGTAGATAGATACACGGACACCACAGAGAAGCGAGCCTGCCACCATGCCGCTTGTTTCTTTGCTTCTGCTGCTGTTGTTGCCGTCACTGTCATTGTTGTTATCTCGACGCAACAACACGTTGGCATGCTTCTCAACAGTGACATATTAATAATAATCAAAATGATGATGACGATACTGTCGGGCGCTTTGCCTGGGGAAGAGAGTGTTGCGCGTCGTCACCAGCGTCATACACGATTACCCATTTCGGTTTTTGGCCGCCTTTCTGCCTAGAGTAACGGCTAAATCTGATCGCGGTTTACGTTCCAGAATCTGTTCATCTTTCGGCTTTTCAACGAATGAGTGTCGACGATTATGTTCAACGATATTTTGCGCTTTGTTTTGAGCCGTTAGCAATAAAGCAAACGACATAAACGTCAAAAACAGAGATGCCGCAATGGGTCTTCAGTACCTTTAGAGCTTTTCCAAGACATTGCCACTAGATTTAGTGGTGAGATAAGAGAGCATTCGAATAAATGTGCTGGTTATGTGCCTGTTCTATTAAATTAAATATTAGTTAGTTGATTCTTAGGTTATTATTTAAAAGAAAACCTAAATTATTACGGCTGCAACGAATAATATATAAACTTCGCGTTGGCTAGCGTAAACTTAGTTGTGCCAGGAAAACAAGTTGAAGACTTATTCGGTGTCATGTGAGTTTCTGTAAGTTATGCAATGCTGTAAGTGATGCAATGCTGTAAGTGTACATGAGTGATATAGCATGTTTGTTAAACTCCAACCTGAAGACCGGGCATCAAATGCTAAATCGTGAATGCCTTCGTAGAATAAGACGTATACTGAAATTCCGTCTCTTTAGTTTATGGAAAATCAATGAAAAAAAAATATTCGGCACGATGTAGTTCCGATGCTTCCTTTAAAAGGAACAACATTTATTCAATAATAGTCAGTGAATGCAGAACTTTTACGTGAGCGGTTAACAAATACATTTTATTTCATTAATCTCTCATTTAATGATTACTGGCGAGCAGACTTTTCCCATTGCCTCTTCGCTAATTAGCGAAACCACGCAGTGCAAGAGTGTGTGTGCGAGGAGAAGGTAATTAAGACCTGTATTATTTATTCATACTCGTATTTCAGTATTTTTTTCCCCTAATTAAGAGACTCAAGATAATATATCATTTTCTGGTTTTCGCTTCCCATCAATCCTGACCTCCGAATTGACTTGTAAACATGGATGGTAGCTTGTGCGGCCATAGACGTGGCCCGCTACCATTCTGCAATCCGATGCATTTAGGCGTTTAAGTAGAACGATATATTCAGTTTAGTGGAATTGAACCCAGACAGGATCTATGTTCATATCCGTTCCTGCCCACTTTTTATGGTAGCAATCATTCACGGCGAACGGTTCAACCTCGCTCGTACTTGCTGCTGTGTTATGACAAGCCATTGATCTACTCACACGAGATTGCATAGACGCACCAACCAACAGCTTTCGGTGAATGATTTCATGTCTTTAACCACAAATCATAAACGAACTCGTTATGTCGGCCATGGTGGTATAATGTCGACTGATTTTTGCTATAATTTATAACTACTAACAATTTTAGACAATTATTTGCTGTTTTCAATATATATATGCACATGTATTTCCGTTAGGGTGGTGTCAATATATCTACGGGAAAATGTCGTAATCACCGTTATTATAGTTACATATTATCTAGAAATACATATCGTAGAGATGTCTCACCTGGCTTGATATGGCAGAGCATACGACTACGGCAATTGCAGGAGGGACGCGCGTGTATCTAGTGTGCCAATCGTTCGGTTGGCAAATTTTTCCATGAGCTTTTATATTCAGTTAACGCTGTCGCGACGAACCTTCGGATCATTCTCCGAGTCCTTTTATTCGGTCGTTCTCTTTTTTTCGGTTTTCTGTTCGTGTGATCATCATTTTGGGTCACGCTACTGTTTTGGGTTAGTTAAAGGCTTTTTCGGCTTATGTCGGCGACATTTTCAATGCTCTTATAACCTTTATACGCGGAAATGTTAAGAAACTCATAAAACGAGCGATACATTCTTAATTATGGCTTGGGAAACGTCCATACGTTACCACTAGTGCAATCCAACACAAAGCAATATGCAGAAAACTATCTGTACACGGATATGTTAACTCATATAAATATTTACTTTCGGTAAATATAAAAGCTTTTTCATATCTATTCATAAATAACCAAGCTACGTAGGGTTTCGGCTGCCGCACCGACCACAGACTACTATAGTTATCCATAAATTTAGGCAAGTATAGTTGAATGCTAGCTTGTTTCAGTTTCTTTTATGTAGACAAAAATAGTAAGGTACTCAATAGAAAAGTAGGTCTATTTATGAGACTTACGTACTATAATCATAGGTACTTATCTAAGAAAGGCGACATAAAAATCAAGCCTACCGACCGCTACGCAGCAGATAACTAAGCATATGTCAGTAGGGAAAATTGTTAAAAGAGGCCGTCGTCTAAAGAAGGCACCAGGAATGTTGTTTTAGGATCAAGGATATATGATATGCCGTAGAGCGGTAGCGAGACCTAACGCCCCTTTCTTTGAAAAGACGTGAAGCCACGTCAATATTGGTGACTAAATTGATCGACCGTGGCTATTGCCGACTTTTCGGGGACTGAGTACGAAATGCTACCCCTGACGAAATATGGGAGACTCGTTCTGCTGCCTGTCGGCTATAGTCTAACCTGTAATCTAAGTATATAATGCTTACAGTCATCGGAAGGACTAGAAGTGACCAGTGTTTCTCATACACCTTTTCCTGGAGAAGCTCTATTAAGTACCTCTCTAGAAGCAACCGATAGAGAAAAAATCGTAGTTCTTTTTTTACCAGTCCAAGCTGTCGTCTCGTGTAAGAAAAAACGGGCGTTTCAGATGGCGACGAGGGCTATAGAGTAACTACATCCTTTACAAGAACGAGTAGAGTTTGATGTTTTTTAGGGTAGATTCCACTCTTACGCGCATCAGATTGTTGCCGCGTATTTGGAAGATAAAAGTGAGTAGAAACTATCCGGGAAATGAAAGCTTAAGTAAACGAAGGATTTTCAGGATAGCAGCTAAACACTGTAAATATCGTGTTATGGAAAAAAAAACCGTTCCCTTACTTTTCGACGTTTTTGTTTATAATATATAAGTCATAAAAACTATTATCTCTCTATTTTCGATTTTTGTGTATATTCCTAACAACCTAATTAAAATACGGACAAACAAAGGCCTTTCTTATAATCCGACATTCTGGCACAGTCTACGCACGTTGTTGAGCACATGGAAAAACTGCTACCTAAAATCCCTTTTAGAAAGCCAACGATTGAGTATGGACATTGTTGTTTTTCTGTGTCTATTGCTTCATTAAAATATACCTATCTCAGTGCACTGTATTTATTTATAAAGATGCATACTTTAAACCAAGTAAAGGCAATGTCCGTTTGATGACCTAGGTGACCGGTGCTTAATTTACGATTTTTAGCTGAATCGATGGTTTTCACTCATTGCGTTCTCTTCCTTTGAGCAACAGTGAATGAAAATGATCAGTCACTGCTATGTCCATCATATTCTGAACGCTATACATTAAACGTTTCCAAAGAGAATTTGTGTAAAGTAGGTTTAGGTAGAAATTTATTAAGTGTAGCTGAAGCATTTTTAGCATTACATGCTAAAAATATACTTCTTGAAATTCCTATGGGATAGTTGTCTCGAAGTGTTGATGTTTGAATGACTCAGTAATGCCGTAGGACGGAACGAAAGTATTAGAAACGAAAGAAAAGGTACAATTTTAATCAAATGAAAAAAAGTATCTAGATTAGATGTCTGGTCATTCAAAAAACCTGCCTTATAAGATCTTTGCCTATACACAGGCCCGTGGTTACGTATTTGCTCTATACAAGTTATTGCATATGTTAAATTACTTTTGACATGAAGCTTTCTGGAAATATCATGTAATGGTGTCTGGTATGTTTTTTTAACTGTTCTATTAGAGGGAATTGTTATAATTTTAACTGAAAAATGCTAGCAGGTTACAGGCGCCAAATTTCACCACTCATAAGTACTACGTATGTGTGTGTTAGCAACGTGTTTAACGTGTCTGAGTAACACAAGCATGAAATTTATCTTACTTATCTTCTATTTTTATCTAACTAACGTAACAATAGCAACTAAACGCTTTTATCTATGTGTATAATAATTTATTAACTTGTAATGTACCTCATTCAACATTAGTTATGCATAGTAATTTTCAAGCGATTTTATATAAATACTCATATATCTATATACTTTAATTCACAGCAAAATTTAAATTAAAAAAAAAATTAAAATAAAAAAAAGTAGAGTAAGATATACTGATCTTTACGCGTCCGGCCTATCTGTCCAACGTTTTGTTGATAAGGTGGTGATACCCACGGAGAGAATTATATCATTGGCATTATTAATTGCTGAGATGATTGT